TTATACTATAAATTATTAATTTAATTAAATAAAACAAAAACAAATAAAAATAAATAATAGTAAAATTTATTTTATTTGTTTTTATTTTTTAAATGTGTGCAAAATTGATACCAGAAAAAAATGGAAATAATAAGGAAGTATACGGGCATTTTTTTTGTTTCTTTGCGCATGCGAAAATGCCCGTGCATCTTTCCTTCTTATTTCCATTTTTCCCTGGCGTCAGCTTTTGCACACATATAATAATTTGCTTCCCAAGTTCATGTTGTTTCTTTTTTTTTTTCTGTCAATATTTTTTTTTATATGAGAGCACACCTGTGCAGATATCGAACTTATTTCGAATATACAATTCAAAATACCACTCGGATCCAATCAAATCGCGCAATTCTTATTGAAGTGATAATGCTAATAACTTTCGTACAGAAATTATGCAGAAGTCGATAATTAACGTAAAGCAATAATAGTCGACGATAATCATCGCTTAAAACCTTACTTTAATTTCTGAAAACTTGACCAATGAGCGCAAATAAATACAGATACACTCTTCACATGAATACAATATACAGTAGCTTCTCTAACTTTGCACATTTTCCTCCACATGGACTTGCATTATTATACACGACGATCTTCACTGCAGTGCTGATTATTCCGTGTTCTTTTCAGTAACATTTACCCACATTTTGTCTGTATGTGATATATCAGCTAACACGTGACTCTGGAATCATTGGAAGAAGCATTGCTCTAGAAACTTTTTCTCACTTATAGCCCTAAAAATGTGCAAAATTAGGAAATCTATTCCATGAATAGAATCCGAGACAATGCTGTCGACATTACAATTAGTGCCTCTTTGTTAAAATTACGGAAAGTTACTAAAAGTATAACGAAGAAGAATTGCTATATGTCCATCACCTTAGTCGCAAAGTTCCGATATACTCCGACGTTCTTCTTGTTGACAAATTCGGAACGAATACACACTATATGTTCGTTTACCCCACAATCGACATACTTATCAAGTAAAAGCATAAAAGAAGCAAAACCAAACTTTGGATAATACACCGCCGTTGTCGAGCAGTCGTTAACACACGTTTTGCGCGTACGTCACGAGCGGTATTCGCTTTATATCGTCCTGAATGAAAATTCACGGCGAATCTTACGAAATGAAGATGGTGTGCTGCGGAATCGTGAACGAGTGGACCGTGCAGCACGCGAGACACTGATGACGTATAATAAACCCACTGTAAATCCCAGGTGCTTAAGGAAATGATGAATGGCGGCACAATCTTCACACACTTCTTCAACACAATCGTATATTAAGTATGCATGGCATATATAATCTTCGAAATGCCTTCTCATCTTCCTGTCTCCCCTCTCTCTCTCCCTCCTGCTTTCTCCTCCTTTTCATCCTTTTCATTCTTTTCATTCGTTTCGTTTCTTTCCTCCCCCTTTTTTTTTCATTTAGTACGACGTCAGTACACCGGGCGGTGTCGGAACGACTACCGTGTGCTGCGGCACAACCGGGGGTGCCGGCGGAGCTAACGGGTGTCCGACCAAAACCGCAGCCGCCGCCGGTATCGGCAGAACACCGGACTGCGGTATGGCCGATGGCGTGCTAACTTGCGTCGGCGGTCCCTCGGCCGCGTGCTTGCGTAAATGTCGCAGCATGTTGCCCTTCTCAACAAAGGTCTTGCCGCAATCCGGGCAGCTGTGCGGCCGTTCGTCCGAGTGCGAGCGCCTGTGCGAGACCAAGTGTCCTTTGCACATGAAATCTTTGGGGCACAGGTCGCAACGAAACGGCCTCTCGGCGTTGCTGCCCTTATTGTGCGATCGCATATGGAAGAGGAGATTGCCCTTCAGTGGGAAACTCTTGCCACATTCTGTGCATACGAATGGACGTTCACCGGTATGGCAACGCATATGATTCACGAGATGTTCCTGTAACGCAAGAACAAGAGGGTATGAAAAATAAGTTCGTTACGCACAGTTTAAGAGAATAGAGTTTCGATTGCAATTAGATTTTGAAAATTTGAGCAAATAATCAATTAAGACTTTTAATTTGTGACATCGTTATTTTATTACGATTGCGGTGAAATCGCTATCTTCATTTTCATTTAACTAAAACTTAAGCACGAATCCAATGTTCTGAAAAATTTACGCGACTGTATTGTCAGACGAATCGCATACAGAGAAATTTGAATTATTTTTTCCAGCAAATTGAAAAAGAAATTAAAATTGCTTATATTTAATTTTATTTATAGCAAATACTGAGTGTGTCTGAATATGCAGATAAAAAGCCAACGTTACCTTTCTAGTGAATGGTTTGTTGCAGACGTTGCAACAGTGCGAGGAATCTCCGGTATGCTGACGGAGATGATTATTTAGATGCTCTTTCCTAGTGAACGTCCTCTGGCAAAACTCACACCTATGTGGAGATTCGCCAGTGTGGATGCGCACATGATTCGTCAAATGCTCCTTACGAGTAAATGACTTGGAGCAGAAGTGGCATCGGTGTGGCGATTCGCCTGTATGTTGACGCACGTGATTGGTCAAATGTTCCTTCCGCGTGAAGGATTTGGTGCAATACTGGCACTTGTGCGGTGACTCACCCGTGTGCTGCCTGACGTGGTTCACCAGGTGGTCCTTTCGCGTAAATGCTTTCGGACAGTATGTACAGCGGAAGGGCGTCTCTCCTGTACACATTTCGCAAAGCGAATTTGCAATGTTTGAGAAAAAAGGTGTTTCCGTCACTCAGAACTCAGGAGTTATCCTGCACAAGACGAGTTTTGCTTTGACGTAACGCACGGAGAAGGCACGAAATCCGGAATAAACACATTTAATTTGCATTAAAGTTAATGTTAAAGTATGCTAAATTGAAAAATTTCGACAAAGTTAAAGCAAGATGTGTTGACTGATCTTGGGGAATGCGTAATAAATTACACACAAGAAATTTCTGAGTTAAATATTTCAATATTCAATAGACTGCTTACGATCGTTTAATATTGATAAAAATTATCATTGATTGCTTATCGTCGTGTAATGTTGTATCAAAAACCTTGTGCTACAGATATATTAATTAAATAGTGCCATAACTTTACGTTACGTCGAAGGAAAGTCAGCTTGTACAGCAATAGACTACAGTACTCTAAAATTCTCAACATATATATTCTCTAAATTTGTATATGAAATATTAAAATGCTATAAACGCTACTATTACTTTCAACGTAAACTTTCTGTCTCGCAATCATTAAGCAAATATTAATCTCTCTCTCTTTCTCATTTTTTTCCTTATCTAATCTAGTTAACACTTCATATATAATGTCGAACTAAAACGAAGCTCGAGACTTGTGCCGTCCTATGAGATGAAAATGACGAGCGATGAAATTATTTGCAAGTTTCCAAAACTGTGTGAAAAACAAAATTCGACTGACACCTCTCGCCAATGCAAATGAGAGCTGCGAATATTGATGAATGCGAGAAACGCATGTTAATAAGAGGAATGAGTATGAGAGCGGTGTATTAGGCAGAACAGCAGCGAACGTCCCTTAATGATGACAGGGAAATACAATGATGATGAGACTGTGCGATGATCAGATTGAAAGTTAGACGCACGATGATACAAATGTTAAGAGACGCGATGAGCGATCGAATGAGTAAAATTTATGGTGAAACTTTACGGGGCGATTCTGTCTAAACGAAGATCAATTCCCATGCAGTCTGATCCTCAACTAGATGCGCCACACACATACAGAACGTTCCACTTCTAGCGGATCAATCTTTTTAATGGTAATTTCCTTGACGCGAACTAAAGCCAAGAACTTGAAATGTTGAGATGCACGATGAGCTCCGAGTTGTGAACGAATAGTGTTGAGAGTCTTCCGAATCTTCAAGAGTCATTCAATTAATATTAAAACTTTAATTTTTGCTTGCAAGATCGGTCGCACTTCAGCGACTTCAACAATGTTCAAAGTGTGAGAGCTATAACATTTTTCTTAACATTTTTACTAAAAGAAAATTTATTAATTCCAAATTGAGTCGCATTAGAATCGTGAATCCAGTAGAAGTGAAACAGTTCGTATACAAGCTAGATTGAGATGTGTGAAAACCGAAAGCGTGTGAAGAGATGCGAGTCTCGACTTGCGTTCGATCGAACCACCTAAATGCGTTGTGTCATATGCGAAATAATTTTTCGCAATCAATCTCTTAAATCTATAACAAAAGAAAAAAAGGATAAAAAAGATTTAAAAAAAGAAAAAAAAAAAGAGGAAAACTAATCTCCGTCTCTCACTATGTAAATAGACCACGAAAATACAACTACTCTTAATAGAGATAACGATTATATCGGTCCGTGAAGTGAACATCTGCCAACCGCTCTCACCTGTGTGTTGGCGGATGTGGTTAACAAGGTGTTCCTTTCTGGTGAACGATTTGGAGCAGAAGCCGCATCGATGTGGAGACTCACCCGTGTGCTGGCGAACGTGGTTCAGGAGATGCTCCTTTCGCGTGAACGTCTTCGAGCAGAAGTCGCAGCGATGCGGCGTCTCACCCGTGTGCCACATTATGTGGTTCGTGAAGTGCTCCTTCCTCGTAAACGACTTACCTGTATACAGCAGCGATAAACAGAAAGAAACGGAAAACAGGCGTGTTTCATTAGATTGCAATGCCAATGACACAGACGTGTATAAAAGTTGTATGGAGACGCGCGTGGGACGATTCCAAGACACGAGATTCGCAATTCGCGACGAGTTATATCGTTGTGCGATAAAGATGCGAAATATAATCATTGTAGATTATCGTAGCCCCAAGCTTCGGTCTGCCTCGTTCTTATTTGCACGCAAAACAACGAAGCTAAATTACTGAATGAATCTTCAACGTAAAATATAAATCGATTAAATCATAATTAAATTACAACCAAGACAGCAACGTACAAAAAAAAAAAATTACTGACTATTTTTCAAGTGGCTTTTTGTAAAATGTCAAAAGTAAAAAAAACGAATAGTGTTCTCTTGCAATTGTTGCGTGAAATCTATTTTTAGCGGAATATAAATTCAGAAATCTTTTGTCGGGAAAAAGCGCATTTCCAAAAAGATTGAATAAAAATTTTGCAACAGAATTTTCCTCTTTCAAAAATGACATTAAACGTAGTCAACGTGTACTTGTATATATACACGTATCACGTGACATACAGCGCGCATGCTTGTAACTCCGTTGAACGAAAATACAAATTTCGAATTTCCTTGTAACAAGCATGCGTTCTGTTCCGTTCACTTGTAATCGCGATAAAAAAAAGCTACCGAAATAATCGTTTAATTAACTGCTTCTTCAACATTGTTGACGACGAATATTACGCAATCTCCGAACGCGCGTTGTAACAAAAATCCATGATTTGTTACAACAATCGTGTAAAAAGTGAACGACATCGATGGTTTCTTAGCAAACATGCAATATCAACGATTCCACGGACATTGTGACAAGAATAATTGAACAATACAAAATCCCATTATTACACACAATTGCATCCGAATAACAATAACAAAATCTTAACAACGTGACAATTATTCTACTCGACACTGCACAAAAAATCGCGGACTTGGAAGTAAGAACCAACATTCTGCCGCCGGTGGAAAACCGCGGAAAAGCAATCGATGTTGCGGAATTAATTTTCGCGGCGTATCGCCGATAAAATGGCAAGTGAAATGATGCATCGAGATCCGCGAATGCGACACGCGAGCGAGCGCGAGCGAGGGTCGGCGAACGGCGTTAAATACGAACCGCTCAAATTTACAAAATAGCAAGTCATGCCATCACAGTTCACGGTCAGACGTTGGGTGAGAAATAAAGGGCCCCTTGTGGAGGGAGCCGGCCGGCGGCTGGAGGTTTCGCGCGATTCCCGAGGACTGAAGAAGGAAGAAAGGGGGTTCTCCCGTCGTCGGACGTGCGGGCAGGAGCGGGCGAACGAGGGCAAGCGCACCGGCACGATTCTCTAAGCTTTAGAGGGGCGCCTCTTCGCCACCGCGAAGGAATGCGCACGACCCGCGCGCCCCGCGAGAGCTCGCCCCTCCCTCGTCCGGCGAGCTCCGCTCGCGATGCGCGATCAATTCTCGCGAATTTTATTTCACCGCCGCATATACCCGGCGCGGCTGCGGCTGCGGGCCCGCTGTTCGCATAGCGTGTTCGACGTAACTCCACGCCGCATCACGTTACTCGGCGCGAGAGATTTGTCAAATATCATCGATCGCGCCGACGCCGACCGTTCCTGTAGCAGCGTCGATTTTGCACGCGTGCAGCGTCGAGCAAGCTTTTTTTCTTTCTTTCACCAGTTGGAGAAATTGCATGTTTGCGAGACGAATGCAGAGTTACGAGCGTTCGAAATCCGATCTAGCTCCGAAAATGCACAACGGAGGATTCTCTTTTGTTTCTTGTTATGTAACATCAGTAAGAAAAATCTTTTTAAGCGTCGTCAGTTCAAAATGACTCTGCAAATATATGTATGCAGCAATAAAAAAAAGCCAAGCACTTCAAAACTTACAATGCGTTCTCTGAAAAATGTACACACTGTATTAATTGTATCAATGCAAACATAAATTAAAAAGCACATACGTTTTTCATGTCTTATATCTTTCACATATAAAAATTATAAGCGTTTTTATTACATTCAGCCAGTACATTTTGCTCTAAAAACTAAGCTTAATGGATTGTTGATTTATTTTTTATTCCAGATTAATCTCTCAATCTCTTAGATCTCTACGTCTTCTGATATAATTAAATATATTGGACTTAATAAATCTTACACATCAAGATCTAATTTCAAATGTAATATCCTGAATTAAATAATAAATATTAATATAAATTTCTTGCACTTTTTGCATAAAAAAACCAGATGTTAAAAAAATTCCAATAAAATCGAAAATGATATTTTTTTCTCAATATATAGATTTTTAGAATTTATTTAAATTACTCAAGCTTCAAATAAACACTTATATCGTAATTACGAAATAATGTTTTATTGAGAAGTATAACCAGAAGTATTTTCTTTTGCGTTCATTTGGCGTTTCAATTATTCCAAATCATTCATGTATGTATGTAAAAAGAGCATATGTACTGTTGAATGATGCATAAAAAGAAATATCTTACTTACCTTGTATAAGCTTCAAATCTCACTAAACCTGTATTGATAATATCCCGCGATAAAGTTTCATCGCGGTATGCTACATAATATTTTACGGAATAATTGGCAAAAGTCAATCAATCAGTTCCACATTAGAAATGATTAATATTACATCAAAGACGTGTTACTTTCATTAATAATAAATAAGAATCAAAATATTAATCCCGTGAAAATTTTTCAAAAAGGAGGCAATCGCTTCAATTCGAAACGTTTTTTTTGGAATCGTCCCATTAAATACCGAAATTTGTTTCTTTAGATCTCTTGTCTTAATACACAACGCGAACTTTTCGTCCTTCTTCATCTGAATGAATTTTTAAATAGATATCGACCGTATTAAAATTGCATACGGCAGACAGATGAAAAGAGAGAATTACTCACCACATATTTCACAACGGAACGGCGTGTCATTCGTGTGCGAGCGCATATGATTAGCGAGATGCTCTTTGCGCGTATACTTTTTGCCGCATGCTTGACAATGATGAGGTGTTTCTCCTGTATGCCACATAACATGGTTCATAAAGTGTTCTTTGCGAGTAAAGCTCTTCTTGCAAATATCACACCGATGTGGAGTTTCACCAGTGTGTTTGCGAACATGATTTACCATGTGTTCTTTACGAGTGAATGTCTTCGAACAATATTGGCATCTGCAATGTTTAAGATATTTCTTATTACTCTTAAAAATTTCAATTATTAAACATTAAAATTGTCACTTTATTCATTTATTAGCCACAATTGTCTCATTAATATGATATTTAGTTGGGCGAATGATATGGATAAATGAATACCTATACGGTGTTTCGCCGGTGTGACATCTCGTGTGATTATCCAGATGCTCCTTGCGTGCAAAGCTCTTGCCACAAACCGTGCAATTGTACGGTTTATCGGTGGCATGTCTTTTCATATGGCGTTCTAACGAAGGCGCGTTCGCGAAAACGTGAAAGCAAACGGTGCAAGTGAACATGGATCCACCCAAGTGGCACTTGCCGTGACGCGTCAAATCATTCGCGTTCGAGAATGCTTTGCCGCATACCTGAAATCATTTGCCACATGTTAGAGTCGCATATTTATTGCGCGCCGCGCTGAGATTCGCCGGATTATGTGTACCTGGCACGTGAACGGCTTTCTTTCCGTATGATATCTACGATGTACAATGAGCTGATAACGAAACTGGAAGATCTTTCCGCATATCTCGCAAGCGTGGCTGCCAACCGACACTGGTGACGCGCTCGGACCGGGCGTGGCTTCGCCGTCGCTCGATTTTATGTCGAATTTGTTCAGTTGAACTTGCTGCACGATCGGCGTGCCGTTCTGTATCGTGGTAACTGTCTGCGTAGGAACGGTGCTGCCCACCAGAGTCGTTCCGGCCGCTATTTCGCTCTGCAGCTTTCCGAAAACTTCGTGATACGCCAGAAGTTGGTTTATATCTTCGACGTTTACCTGTGATCGAACGGAACAAGTGTATTTACAAGTTCAACTTTCGTGCAGCTTTTCAGATATAATTATTACAATAATTCCCATGATATTTCGTACCTTGTACATATTTTGTACCATTTCGACGCCGAGAGTTTTAGCCAAATCCTGCTCGTTTCCCGCACTAATTTTCACAACTGATCCATCTGCCGTTCTTACATCCATCATGTGTCCTCCTGGTTTTAAATCAGGGACTTGGAATCTGTGGAAATATATTGTTCTCGTCAAATATCAATGATGGTTAACCTTTAGAGAGCCGCAACATTTTTTTCAAATCATGAAAGTGAAACTCTAAGAAGCTTTTTATTATTCTTTTTCTATTAATATAAATTTGTAAAGATTGGATAATTTTATGAACTGTCCAATGTGACTAGTTTCAAGATACAGATTTTGAGAAATTATAAGGCGGTTCTCTAAAAGTTGAAAATAAAACGTCTCTGTGCTTACTGGGTCATATTCAGCTGTCGCAACTCCTTCTCTTTTTCCGGTTTCTCGGAGTTATTCTGCGTCCCTCCCTCGGTATTGGAGTTTCCGCTGATACTGACTCCGATCTGCTGCTGCTGCTGCTGCTGTTGCTGCTGCTGCTGCTGTTGCATCAAGCTCTGTTGAAGATCTTGTGGGGGTTGTAATTGCAGATCACATTGAACTTGACAGTGAACCTGATTGTCGCTGCAACGCTCGGTGGTGCAGCTGCCGCCCTCGTCCTTCACTTTGTTATCGTCTCGTTGCGCGCTTTGACTGTGTGCCGTTGGTCCGCTATTCTGGGCGTTTTGATGATTCTGCATCTGATGATGAGACTGCTGCTGCTGCTGTTGCTGCTGCTGCGGCGGTGGCTGTTGCTGTTGCTGCTGGTGCAGCTGCTGTTGTGCTTGCGCTTGCATTTGCTGTTGCATTTGTGCATGCGCAGCCTGCAGGTGGCTAACACTCGCCGGTAAATGCGCGCCGTCTAAATTAAGGCCGGGAAGAGATACAGGAATCTGTTCAACAAAATACACAGACGACATATAAGTATTATTACAGTCCAATCCGGCACGTTTGATCAAGAATCTTGTACAAGTAGCTTATACAAGATTACAATCTCGTCTAAGTTTCTCGATACACTACAAAAATTTGTTTAATTCTCCAAACATTTCCGCTAATCGTATTTAATTATTCAAATAAATCTAATTCGCACTTGCAAGACACAACAGTAGAAAAATTAATAACTGGCATTTAGTGAACGGTTTTTACGATATGGATTGACAACCAAGTAAAACGAAACAGAATCACAAAATAAAGTTCTTTAAACAATTGCGCAAAGTTTAAATGATGAGTGCCGACATTCAAGCATTTTTTTTTTCATTTACGCGCCTTTTAACTGCACGCTTTTCACACGCTTTTTTTCCGTAAAAAAAAAATTGCATATGTTATCACAATTCCTGGAAAAACTCTAAGTACTCTAGATCGGAGTAATCCATAAGCCGCATCCAAAACCGTCATCGTAACACAAAACACGTGCCGCTACACATAAACAAACCTGTGGATTTGACTGCAGAGAACTGTGATGGCTGCTGCTGCTAACCGAAGGCTGATGATGATGATGGGCGGCAGTTGACTGTTGCTGATGATGCGAGCTGGAAGTCAACGCCATTTCCTGGTTGAGTGAAGAGGCTGGCTCTTTGGAGGATGATGCCTCCCCACCGCCACCACTCCTATGCGAGGAGTTGTGGTGGGAATGGTGGTAGACCGAGACCTGAGGTAGCGGTCCGGGAAACAGATTGGTGAGGACCCAATACTTAGCTACCGAGGAGGCTAACGCTACGGCAGTACCTACACGCAGGTCCGCGGATGAATGGGGGGTACTCCCTACATTGCCAAGACTCGCGGTCGCAGTAGCCAAACCACCTGGGTATGAAGGACGACCACTTTGACCCGCGTTTACATCCTACCGATATACATTCAGACATTTGTACAACATTGATAGGGCATGCAGCGGCATGCACCAGGCTGAAATCCAATCGACAAATGCGCCACTTTTCATGTGTCTAATGCGACACGAAGGGTCCCATGGATAATTCGTTATTGGAGATTTTGTGCTACTGGAGACAGCAGTGGTGTCTCTATGTCGTGTACAGAGTATGTATGGTCGAGGAAAACGCTTTATACATACACCTGTCAAGCCATACAAACTAATTATAATCGAGTCTGTTTTTGTAAGCTCATGTGTGTGAGATAATGCGATCTATTACAACTTCATACAGTAAGATTATTATATACTATGATGGATAATTAAAGCAAAGTGTTAGAAGTTACAAGAGTAGAAAAGTCCAAGCACAAGCCATTTTATATATATGATATACTACAAGCATCTATATTCTAAAAGCTATGGATTACAGCAAGCTAAATGTGTGTACCATAAAGTGACAACAAAATAAGAAATTCATATTCAACATAATCATAATAATAGCCAAATAATAGAATGTAAAAATATTGAATATTACGTTAAATCTTATGAAACACAATTGAAAGTCTTATATAATTAAAATTGATAAAATTATAAATTTAGTTTGGTACAAAAGAAACACAATTCGTTATAGCAAACTGAAAGTAAAAATCAACAATTCATAAATTAACAAAGCCAATTACACAAATGTCTATGTATATAACATCAGCACAATGCATCTGTGCGATCACTTGCGCATTTGTAGTTTGGTGTATAGCCTGTTTACAACTGGAAAGTACCTCACCTCTTGTTGTGCCTGCGTAGTCGCTGGCAATGCATGCTGCTCACTATTCATCTTCGTTCACTGAAGGATATTAATTAAACGTATCTGACATACTTCATTTCTCATCCTGTAAAATGCATTAAAAAAATTAATCCTTAGATTGTTATATTTATCAAAACAGAATATTGGGAGCAAGTAATGATATAAGTATCTCAGCACTATTCAAGATCGAGGAAGATGACCGAAGCTTTTGTCAGATATAACCAGTCGTTTGCGTTTAATTAGCGCGCGAAGATGGTATGGATTAATTAAATAACGTAATGCGTAACAGTAACATATCGAACCCGTGACTTTTGTTGTATAATATCAATTGTAATCAAAATGCACACACTATCGAGAGATATTTCGTTGATTATTTCCAATTTGTGACCTTGCTATTCGAATGTGTACCGAAAAGAACGTGACTCGCAACTTTGTCTGACAGAGTCCTACACCATCGCAATCAACAATACGCGACGGCCGTTGCGCCATTGGAGACCGATCTGGCGAAACGCGCGATCGTCCATTTAACCTCGAAAGTCAAGCCGTGCCACGAATGCGACGGAGCGAGTAATCGCACCCAGAGTGCGCGTAAACAATCGCGCGCCGAACAAGTGGACGCGCGCGAGAACGGAGAAGCGCCGTTCGCGACGACGACGATGACGACGACAACGACGATGACGATGATGATGATGATGTCGAGTGAGAAGGAACATCCGCGTCGACACGATTATATTTTAACCTCGCGGCGCCTCTTCTCTCGGCGGGCTCTTCTCGCTCGGTCGCGAGCGGGAAAGAATGAGTCATCCTCAATACGCGGCGCGATGCGTTGCGACAAAAGACCCATTCTTTCCAGCGTCAATTTCCCTACAATTTTCCATCGCCGAAATAAATCTCGCTGTTATCGTAGCTATTATCGCATCTGGAAAAATAAGAGGGAAGAAACGAGGCATTTAGAACGCGCAAAACTTAAAAACAGAGTGGCCTTAATGGCGCAACCGCCGAAACAGTCGCGACGGAGAAAACGGGCGGGCGCGTACCAGCGATGCAGGCGACCAGAAGCAACCGTAGTCGAGGAATGGTGCTCGATTGTCGCCGAGTATCGCCATCGTGCACCATTCTTCGGTGTCGCGTGCGACATTGTTATTGCTGGCTAGCTTACGCACTCGCTCGTTCGCTCGCTCGCTCCTTCGTTCGCAGAGAGCAACGGGGACAAGGGGCCAACAAGATGGACGTGCTACGCGGACTCGGGGCGCGAGGGGGATACGTACGCGCGGTGTGGCGCGGAGCGGCGCGCCGCGGCGCAGCGCGATTTCGACTCGACTCCTGAGGTCTACGAGGGTGTACACGGGCAAGTTGGAACTCACGTGGTGCGCTGTGCCATCGGCGGTTCTCGCATCTCGTTCTCCGTTGGCCACGAAGCCGCCTCTTCGCTTCCTTCGCCGCAACACACACACAGACGGGGGGAGAGACGCGCGTTCGTCCCGACGTACGTAGCGCGCGGGGGAGGCAGGGACGGCGGGGGGAGCCCCGCGCAGGCCTGCCTCTCGCGACACCGCCGCGCCGCACCGCGCTCTTTGGCTGCCTCTCTCGACGTCTCACCTCGCCACTGGAGCCCACAAACAAATCGCCGATAATGGCCACGCGCCCTCGCCCACCGTCTCCTCAACAGCCGCGACGGCCTGCCCGACCAAGCCGGGATGCGGGACGGCCACTTTTGGTCGCAGCGGACGCCAAACCGCGAGAAAATTCCACAGGAACGTCGCCCGCGGGGCCTACGTGCTCGCGGTTAACAGAAAATACGACGACTGTCATGGCGGCCCCTCGCCCACCCCGCAGGAACTTACGCGCGCGGGGCATCGCCTAGCCGACCGTTGCGAATCAGTCCGTTGGGCGGTTTTCGCCCGACGAACGGTCCGGCGGTATTGAATAATGAATTATTCGACATATCTCGTGGCGAAATGTCGCACAATTAGCTCGCATTCATTTTGATAATTGTACTAGCTGGTCCTTGTTGTTTCATTGAGGCTGCGCGCGCAGCCAAAGATTGCGCGCGCGGTTGCTCACTTCCGGTGGCGGGAAATCATTGCGATTATGAAAGCACGCAAAGTTTCACTATTTCAATTTTCGGAAATGAAAACTTCTTCTTTAGTTTAAAGATATAACAAACAAGTATTTGTCATCGATTCCTTCGACTTTTGTTAAGTAAATTAATTTTAAATGGATTATTATCAACATTATCGAAATTATTATTAATCGCTTTTTGGGTTGGCACTTCTTCAACGTCAAGGTAGTGACATCTTTGGTTAACACTAAAAGTAATACACGCTTCTTTACCAATCAAAATATAATATCTTGGTTTTGAGAAAAAATTACAAAATTTTAGGAAAAATAATTTTATAAAACTATAAAATTATAAATTACTTTTGAAAATTAGACAAGTTTATTAATATTGCGAAATAATTGCTGTATGATAAACTTCCTAATTGTACAATGTTGTCTTTTTTTAAATTTTACTTTGTTGTTATTATAATTGATGTAATTTGTATTTAAAAAGACACAGCGATATTGTGCTTCTACAAAATGTTATATATATTTAATCTTTTTTAAATAATATTTTGAAATAATTTATGTGTGACGAATAAAATGATAAATATGAAAAAGATTTCATTTACAACTACATATATTATATCCGATATTTTCTTACATTTATTACTAAAATATTAATCAGTATTTACATCGATTTGTACAAGTGACCATTTTGGTCATACGTATATATATGTAAATGATACATCCGACTGAAATACTTGTGTGGTATGTGTATTCATATAAATAAAACTACGGCTTTTCCGCTTTTTACGCTATTGAGTTTACCACAATATTACGAGTGGAATATAAATATTTTTCTTTGAAATGCAAAATGCAAAATGTGAAATGAGCATTATAGCGTATATCACTGTAAATCAAGTGATAATTCACATAAAAATTCACTGATACATTACATGCAAATAGTAACATACAAATTTGTATAATTATAAATTTTTCTCAAGAGTACAATACAATATTCAAATAAGCGGACGAGAAAACAAATGTAATACAAACAAATATAGAAGTGACATAGATGCGCTTCGATATTTGGATGCGATTTAAACGGAAACGTTGACTAGTACACTATATAATATACAGTGATCGTTATTAGACATGTACAGCGCAAGAATTAAATAAAGACCAATATTTATACAAGAGTTTTATAGTTATTTAGCTGCAATTTTGTCTATTGCACAGTGTACTTGGATACGTTCAAATCGAAGACATTATTTATAAAATAATAGTACTTGGAACATAAATACAACATTTATAATACATGCAGAAATTTTACGAAAACATATCAACATTCAATATTTTGACACGTTAGAAAGAATAAAATGAACGTTTTTCTTAAAAAAATTAACAGAAATTCGAGAAGTTTATATCAAGATTTCAGAAATGGCAAAATTTTATAACACACTTTTTATAATTTTTATAATTATATACTATTTTTCTCACAATGATACTATGATTATACCGCGCGAATGCTTTTGCGCAAATAAGATATCGATGTGTCGTTAACGTAACATGGAATACAAGATTATCGAAGTAATGTGTCGAGAATTTTAGGATCGAAGGAAAATCAAGACTGATTGTCTTCGATACTTCGGGATATGTGATCACTCCTTTACGAGTCTTGCACTTGGATATGTATTAGTCGGCATTACAATTCTGTGGTAATCTCGTCCTGCGGCCGAAAACCGAGGATCGTAAAGTCATCGATAAGATAATCACGAGCGGGCGACCAGTCCGACAGGATTGTGTAATTAGCCGCTTCCACAGGGCTGCTCTGGAATTTCCATTGCGGATTTAGGTCGCGATCCAACCCGTCGTTCGTCTCGCACTCGTCTTGCAACATGCGAACGCTGTTTGTCTCCAAGGCGCCTAGCGCGCCGTTGTAACTACGATTGAACACGGAGATTCCTTGGAGTTCCTGGAGATGCGAATCGCTTATCGTCCTCACGCCACCGCGCTTCTGACTGCTGCCGTAGACAAGAGGCGTCGTTTGGCCAATTGTCGAGCCATTCGGACTGAGCTTCTCGCCGTTGTAAGCACCAGAAACACTGTTTTGACCAAAACTCGAGCCGAGGGGACTGCTGTCCTTCGCGTAGCCGAGACTGGAGCTCGCCGGGCTAATACTCGACTTGTCACTCGCCTGGAACGTCGCGAGTGGTACATTCGCTTGGAATGTCGTGAGATTAGTCGGGGTACTCCTTGGCTCATATGTGGTCTGATGAGGCGACGGTTGCGGCGCTGCGACCGGCTGCACCGGCGACATTTGGACGGCGTTCGTCGGCTGCTGCAGAAATGTCACGAGCTGAGCCACCTTCAAGTTGCAACAAAACGATAAATATCATAATCCATTCGGAAACATTGTTCGAGCACGTAGAAAAAAAAACAGCTCATTCAGTCGGATTGCTGCCATTCGGGGGGGAAAAGGGGGCTTAACGCGGGGAACTATCGTCTAACGCTATGCTTTTTGCATACAGCTTGGTATGTGACTCACCAAAGTGCTTTAGGGACTGGCGTGAAAAAGAATCGAAAGTGTAAGATAAGATCGGTAGCGCTCGTTTATCATTTTCATTCGACGTAGAAACACCTGCGGGAATAAAAATCTTACCTCTGGAGAACTGTGCCTCTTGTATCTTCTCAGCAACCGCTCCGCCCAGGAGAACAATCGTTGCCAATCGTCGGGTGGCAGTGGTATCTCGTCATCTCTCCTATTCACGAGGACCAATATTCTCGCCAGATCACGTAACACTGGTCTGTAATAACATTAATAAAAATAAATAAGGACACGCGCGTAAAGGTACATTTGATTTAAAAATTATACTATAGATAACACATTTGGACATCTTGTTCAAAAAAATCTTTTCAACTAACAAGGGTAATTTCTCATTTCTCCATTCGTACCTGTACGCCTGGATTCCGACGGCACCGTCTCCATTACTTCCCGAATAGTACAATTCTCTGACTTGTCGCCTAGTATCGTTGAGCATCGCGAGAAAAGTATGGGCTTCTCCGCGCAGTGTCGCCAGGTGTTTCAAGAATTCTCTCCTTTCCGCGCTGAAATTCACAAATCGGCAAGTTATTTTTGGCAAGTCGATCGCGCGACAGAGAATCGGAGCGCCGACGAAGAAATTGAGCCGTACCTGTCTTCGTACTGCTGCGCCAGCTTCGCCGCCTTCTTCTTACGTCGGTGCACGACTATCGCGCCGCAGATGATGATGAAGATGCAGATCGTCGCGCCGGAAATCACCCCCACCAGGATCGCGACCTGGCTACCGGTGAGGCCGAGCATATAGCCGGTCTCCCGGCAGATACGGCCCATGTACTCGTCCCGTGTGGACCAGTCGGCGATGAAACCGGGCGGGCATGTGTGCACGCAGGTACCCTGATGTAGCAGCACGGCGCATCTGGCGCACGTTCCGTCCCTGCACCTCTGGCATCCCGTGTCGGATAAGACGCATTCTCTAGCTGTAATTCAGCAAAATTTGTATTAGTAAAGTTTTCTCATAAACAATATGTTAGATTCCAAGGAACTATTAATAAATTAATAATTATTAATGAATTTATCAATTTGTGTAATTAGTAAATTAGTTAATAATGAACTTTTTGCCACGAATTTGTCGCGAGAGCTACCTCTTATTTTCTAAAAGCTGGAGGGCATAAAGACTAGAAATTGTGCGTCAAACTTTTCCGAAGTTCTTGCCGTCGCTAAAGATCATCAAACTTGGGTCGAAACTTTACGTCCAATGTAAACTTGGAAGTTTTATTTTCTCAGAGCAGTTCCCGACAGCAAAGTTGACGCTGAAGCACGGTGGAGTTGACAGTGACTTTCAACGTGGATCCAATCATTGAGTGAACACTCTTTCTCTCTCTCTCTCTCTCTCTCTTCCCCCCTCTCTCTTAAAACGATTCTTATTAGTAGAACTATATTCTTATGGTCTTAGAAAAAGATTAATGCACTCGGAAACTTTAACCGAGAACTTGAAAACGGAAAAGTTTCGTGTTGTGTATCGTCGAGTCTAACATTTCTGTTTGCGAGAAGAATAAAGTGTACTTAAGTTGTAACTTTTTATGTATGGACAAGCTTTACACTATCATTTCCTATCCTCTCTGCATATGACCTAGTGCTACAATACTTTCTGATGATTCTACAAGTATATTATATTACAGTTCTTTCACAAGTATTTCAAAACAAGATGTTTTTCATTTATAATTTCTTTAATCAGTTTGGAGCTAATATTTTCTTGATTAAAGCATCGAGCATAGAGATTTTACTTATTGCAAATTTTCGATTTTCTCCAGATTATATATAAAAATAAATTTTATTATTAATTCTCAAATTAAAAATTCACGGAATGACATATAATGCAAATAATTACAAGAATACACAATTTAATGCGCAGTAAATTTAAATGTTGAAATATCTCAGCTGGCGACTATTAAGGCTCTGTAAAAGTACCTAGCACTGCTAGATATTGATATCTGCGTTATGTATGTCAAGCATTTGGGCCACTGCTTGGGGCTATGGATCACTGACCATGGTAAAAATTCGATTCGCACGTTGCACGTTTCGTTCTTGCGGTCTCAGAACTGTAAGTTTTCAAAACGATATTTTCCTTTTTATCACGTTTTTCTCAACTTCCACTATTATTTTCTCTAAAGATTTTTTCTTATTATCGTCATCTTTCGGTGTATTTCTACATTGTCAGACTTACATTACATGTATATTTTGTCACATATTTTGGTGAGAGAAAAGAGACATACTTAGTCTTTCTACATTTTTACGTGCCTTTTCAACATCTTCATTCTCATTGCATTACCCGTCGCTCTATTGACGTCCGTTTCCTTCTCCGATTGTATATACTACTTATGTCTCTTTCTGCTCCTAGTTACATCTCTTCCTCTGCGCTCGGTGACCAGATATACATCATGCGGGGTCATGCAAGAGAGCCGGATGGACAGCGCGCGAGAAAATTGAAAGACCTCGTGTGCGCGAAAGGGAGACCCCGGAGGGGCTTGCTCTGGTGAGGCGGTCCATTAGTACGTATATGAGGAATGCGGTTGCTGGTTTCTCGATTATGTGGGTCTATAAACGCGCGCGCGCGCTCCGTCACACTTGGAAGCGGCGGTCCGACGGTCACACACATTCTCCAGGTTGAGAACACTAGGTCGGGTTTTACCGCTCCTCGCCTTCTCCAGCGTGTGGCGTGTTCTATGAACCTCGGGGTCGACTATTTATTTTACCGCCAGCATCCTTCGACTCTTCGACGTGAAAACTTGTACCGATATCGAGGCGCGTGTTATTCCTCCGAGATCTCAACTTTCTACGCCTTTCCTCGCGCGGAAAATGTGTCTGTATAATTTATTAAAGATATGCGTATGGTAAATATGTGCAGAAGAATTCAAACAGAAATTCCTTGTGATAATAAACAGTTACGTTTCATATTATTCGCATTATATTTATATTATTTGCACGATTGATCGTATCGCACGTCCGATAGAAAGTACATGTCGGTAATTTAATATTATTTAATGGAGAGTTTTGTACGTTGTAGATTTGAAAGTTCGCTAGTGAATAGTGGATAAAAGGAAAGTGGATCTTTATGTTACTAAAATGAATTGAGAAATATCGGAGGATTAATAACTAATGTAAAATTGCAGCGTTTTGATAAATATAATATGTAATTATAGAAATATATGGATTATTTTCATTTTATTTATATTATATTTAATATTTTTGTAATCATTTTTATAATAATTTCAGATTTGAAATTCACACCGTGTTATATTATACTCTTTCGTAACTTTTTTACAAATCAGACTCTGTCAATAAAAAGACTTTTCGTAATATAGGTACATCTGCGCGACTGTCAGTAGATTCGCCGAGTTGAGTTAATAACTAGATAATTAAAGGTCGAGGAGAAGTCGCTGCTTCGAACGGCCTACATGATCAAACCGAAACGATTTTTCATCTTTTTCCTAATTATTTCCCGTTATTTTTTTTAACGTTCACTTAAATACAATTTTATATTCGCACAATTTTACCCGGAGAAAGTTTGGAGAAAAAATGTTCTATTTGTTAGTGGAATATGATACCCGGAATTCTGTTAAGCACAAGACCAGTATTAATTTCGCAGGCGTGGCGAACAACAGCTTGTGAAGAAACTCTGACGTCGCACAGTCGTGTATCTTAGCAGCAAGTACTTACATACACTCGTTTTCGTTATTAATTAATGTAGTTAAGTAGACCGTGCATCGTCTACTGCTGACGTTTCTTGACTGAATAACTTGTATGTCCGGAGTTAATCTTCTCGCAGTTACGTCATGCCATAATATACATAATTATGTATGCCGATTCTCTATCTACCAGCATAACTTATCACATTTTAATATAATTTAATATAATTATAGTTTAATTTATTTTCCGTACTGTTGAAATATTTTCTTTCTTAGAATCGATTTAAAAAGACTGATTAAAGGATTCGTATAAAAATAATTTGGCAGTAAACTTTTAGTAAAATAGAAAGAAACGTGTAATATAATTCAATATTTAAAAATATTTAAACTTTTATATTAAATCGATCGTCGCATCGTCAACTCGATTTTTTTGTTTACTACGTGTATTTTGTATAATACTAACCCACATTCGCAGAGCCAAGCTTTCGTGGCTCGCTCCACGTATCACTTTACGCGCGGATTTTAACGACCGCCGTAAACGTCGTCTCTGAATTACAAAGTTACAAGTTCACGCGGCCACGCGGCGACGGTGAATCCCGAGGAGTATGAATCTTTTTAGGCACACGAAGCTCGTATGTCAATCGCCCGTGTACACTCGATATATACGAGACGCCGTGCGAGTACAGTTACTCACGAGCACGACGCACATATGCGATGCACATATGCGATGCACATATGCGATGCGCGACAGCTAGAGATGGGATTGAGTATCTCGCAAGTAGGTGCGAACCCGACTGGTTTCCGACTCTCTTTTTTCATCGTCACTCTGAAGAAACGAAAGCGGTACTTGTGAGCGGGATCAAATTTGGGCGAAAAAAAGAGGTGTGAAATCTTCTTAAACGAGTATTCGAAGAAATAAAAAAACAATACTTTCAAAAACTGAATACCGTAAGCAATTCGATCCCATCCCTAGACGACAGCATCGTCATTGCCTTATGTGCGCGCACGATGGTAAGTCTCTATCTCCGTCTTTCCCTCTTTCCACTCTTTCTTCTTCTTTACCTACGTCCGCAAAATCTCGAAACCTGAATCTTTCCACGCCAGGTACGTTCCGACGTTGGCACTCTTCGTGAAATTCATTAACGGAAACGCGTGTTAATTAGCCCGGTTCACATTATACTTTTTGCGTCGCTGCGCGCTCGCCGAAAACGTTTTATTAATCTATTTCGGACTTTTTCAATCCGTCAGAGTGAACAGCTAACAATATATTGTGGACGTAATATTTTTCGATGTATAAATAAGCAAGTTCTTTTTGCTAATTTGTTTAAAAGTATTGATATATATAAATCTCATTTTTAGTTATAAATTCATTTTCTCGTACAACAAATGGAACAATTAGCAAAATAAGAGAGATTAATGTTTTACTTGACTCGTGAATATTAATAAGATTGAAACGATAATAATAAGGTAAATGAAAGAAACATACAGCTGAATATTTAAATACCGGATAAGCATTCAATCTGCATGTTGGTACTTTCGATTCGTGAACTCATTACATAATAAAGAGCGGTATTATCCAATAAACATGAGAGTAATACTTATATCTATTTCGCTATTGCGTACTTGCTTGATTGGACATTGGTCAAAAATTGCTGAAAATTGCCGTTACTTGTCGAAAGCCATTTTCTCTCCTCAGCCAGAGAATCGAAGAGCACGGCTAGCTACACGTGAGAGCTATTGTTGCACGGACATCAAATATCGAAAGTGCATGCTTTTAAAGTTCAACAAAAAATTTCATTACAGACGAAGTGCACTCAGTAGCGACTTCGATAGCACACACAGATCACAGTGCACGTTCAAGATTGAAAAAATAGACGTAAAATAGGTATTACTATTAAAAAATATATCGCCATACGACAAATCTTTCTCACATTATTATTTAACAATTGTTAGTCGAATATTTCGCGCGCATTAACGAAGACACACAATGAGATGCATGTAAGAAATTCTGATCGAAAAATTTCTTCTCAATTTATCGTTATATTTCTTTCTCCGTTTATTCCCAAACGCAGCGGTAAATAATAAATAATAATAACAAAGTATAAGTATAAAAATAATATTGAGAAAAGCTATAATTGTTAGCTTTCTTGCAATATAAATATAGATATACAAACGTCTGGATACGATGTTCTCCGCTTCAGTAAATGTGCTGTATTATTACATCCAACAAATTCCGGTGATATATTTTGCAGATCGTTGGAACCCATTTACGTTCCAGCGGTCGGTCGCGG